CTATATTTCATTTACATACAATACAATTATTTAGAAACTCGAAAACTTCAAAAAAAGTCACATGATCCTGGGACATACCTTCGTAATCTATTAACGCCTCGAACACAAAATTCAACTTTCTTATTTCTCCGAGTTTGGAAGTTTGATATCCGACTTCATGGCAGAGCTCGTAACCCTCTGGCAATATGGATGGGGTATAAACCACAATGTTCAACAATTCAATTTGGAAATAAGGCGAGTATCCAATTCACCTCTGAGGGAAATCTAAATAGAAAGATTTCGTGATGCAGTACGAAGTTCACAGCTCTGAGGAGACTTTTGATGTCAACAGCTGAATAGCGAGTCCGTAGACTTGTCTTGCTGTGCTCAGTTACAATAGTCGTCTACAGAACCAGCAGTTCAGGCATTTAATCGATGGACTATGTACGATGCAAGTCAACGTCTACGCCGATAGCCGCCACTTCAAAGCCACTGCTTGAACAAACAGACCAGATCACACCTGCATCATCATCATACATCGAGATTACAGAAACAGATAACGTGTGTCGGATAAACTTTCTGTCACTTGTAGAGCCGATTTAATTCTTATACATTTTATACTACTGATAGAAACTATTACAAAAAGCAACTTTACTTTTAAAACAAAAAATAACGTTTAGTCGAGACAGAATGTGATAAAAAATAATTTTCTTAAACTTTAAATGGCGGCGAAATTATATATTTATTTATATGCCGTAATTTATTAAAAATCGCCCCATGTACGAGAGAATGAACGAACAGACAACCTGGGAACTAAGCGGGTATAACTGTTGAGAAGATGGCTGTCTTCTGAGCTGTTGCCGTCAGAATCTCAAATCTCAGGTCAGTGACAGGCTTCACAAAACTTTGATGGAGCCGGTTTGGACGTGGCGGTGAATAGAAATATTCCTTCCCTTTCCGGTATCTGAATGGCTATCGCAACTCCCAAAAACAGAATGAGTAATTCTTCCGAAATGAACTCCATCTATAGAACATACAAATGCACTTTCCATGCTGAACAAATGTGTGTCCAGCAGATAATACCACTAGTTCCTGAAGAGGAACATTATATCTTCACTAGCCCATCAACTGTTAGCTTCTCAAGGGGTGCTAAGCTCTTTGCAGTTAGTGTTAACAATTCGTTATACCGGGTCGTTCACAGTACACTACTGCTTAGAAAGTGTCCTTCCGTCTACAAGTTATGTTTTCATTACGAAATTTACATTCGGTATGCTTATATTTTTCAGAAAAAAATGTAGGCTAAAACACCATTAATGATACAGCGTTATCGGGACAATCACGGCGACGCGGCTTAAAAGTTACACTTAAAACAGCTGTCACTTGTTACGTAACACTAACTGTCTCAAAATGTAGCTATGTTTATTCGGAATTTGCGGTGCTGTCTGAGCTGCTGGTAGCACTGAATAAAATATGATAGCGTGATTAATGGTGAAATGGAATGTATGCGACAGGAAGCAGTTACGGCTTACGATGATATTTTATATAAACAGAACACTGTACCGTTTTACCATAATATTCGCCTGAAGCTGCCTGATATAAATGTTATTTCTCACCTCTACGCAGAAATAAAGTTATGCAGTCGTCTTCCAGTTTTCACATGTTTGTTATAAGTTTCACAAGGAAATAAAATGTCAGTTTTGTGTTCTACATCAGTGGTAAACAACCTGGGGTACGCGAAGACATCTTAGGGGGTACGTGAAATTTAAAAAAATATATTGTTTTATGATAAACACTGAATAATCAGTAATGTAATTTATTTAATTAATTTTTATGTAGATTATATACTATATATAACTTGAATTATACACCAACAACTTTTGGGGTACAAAGTTGAAGAGAAATTATATCTGGTGGTACGCGAACAAAAAAGGTTGAATATCACTGTTCTACATTATGGAGAATATGCCTAGGTCTGTACGCCGGTACACCAGACACAGCAGGCGAAATGGGGGTTGCGTAATGCCAAATAAAATTACAAATCGCTGCCTTATACCAAAACTCATTATAAGTACGTGTTACTTTTAAACATGACAGAAAAAAATCCTAGAGACCCATATTTCAAGCTGATGTACACCAGTTGGTCATACCTGACTTATATTCTAAAGCATCATCTACAAGAATCTGAAGTGGAGACAACCTTTAAGCACCGAAAAAGAAAGAAATTCGGCCTTGCAACAAGAAAAGACATCAACTGTCAATTTAATTAATAGACCTTTTAAGAAAATGTAGCTATTTTTTACAATCGCAGTGACGACTACTTGTATCAGATTCCTTCCACAGACAGAAGGCCAATTGAGGTGCGAGGTTGCATTCAGTTTTGGTCCGCTTAATTGTTCCGGTACTTGTTATTTTAAGAAAATATTAATTATAAGGTACTTCACAGAATTATTCTGGTGTGAATCAAATCAAAAGGCCTAGCCGAGAATACCGTTTATACAGTTTATTGCATGTGATTAGAAGTCATTTATTCAATGCGAAAGTCTGGACTGGACATTGTAATATACAACGACCGCCCACTTTTAAAACTTAAATTAAACATTTCTGAATATGTAAGATCTGATATTCTCACGGTTGTCAAGCATGAAGATGACTCTCGTCTGCGTTGTAAAAGTTTACCGACGTTTCAGAGGTTATTGCTGCCTCTACCATCAGAAACAAGATGGAGGTAGCAAGGAACTCTGAAACGTTGGCAAACTTCTACCAGGTTACAAGGCGCTGCAACCCAGAAGATGGTCACCTTCAGTTATGAACATATTCCTATCCAATTTAACTTCGGTTGTTTCTGGTTGATGCCTCCTCATACACATAAGTAAGAGATTCTTTTCAAGTAAGGTAAAGATACGCATAAAATTTTGCATTGGATCTAGCTAGACTCTACATAGAGAACTTCTGCAGTCCTTGTAGAAAATCAAGTACCGAACGTAAATCCCTCATTTGATACAGTGTTATTAAAGAACCTATTATGTAAATGAGTTGGGTAAAATACTGTTTCAACCAGCAAACACATGTCCTAGATTATATATATTATACATTCATAAAAGCAGTCATTAAGGAAATACAAATGTTTTGTTCGGCACTAAAGGTGTCTGAATGTTTTCTCGTTTAAATTAATCATAAATCATAACAGCAAGTTCCTTACACAGCGCACGCATTTTCTCACCACATCTCTAAGATAAACACCATTATGATGCTTTACGGGGATGAGAATTGAAAAACTGTCAGATATAACCCTCATTTGACTAACAGAAGAAACGTTCTTACACGTGGTAATGAATTCAAATTTGCAATTTATGACAAACATGGTGTGATTTCATTCATTAAACTTAATCCAGTCTGATATGATAAGAATATGCAACACACAGGAGTTACTTATTCACGCCGTCCCTACTGACTTCATAATTACAATAAGGATTAACCTTATAATAGCAAAGCCAACGTGCCAACAACCTGGGCTACACTATGATGTAACAGTAGAGAAAAAGCTATTTATATCGGGTCAAAATTATGTTTTACTACTCATGTATTAACAAGTGTATTACGTAATCGTCATCTTTGAGATTCTGTACAGAATACATCACAGATGCTGAAGTTCATCTATTGCAAGTTAGAATCTATGGCTGCAAAACTAATATAATTCGAGATACCACATTTTTCCTTTTTATTTTGATGCCTGTACACAACAGGAATATTATTAGAAATGAAAGTTTCCATAACTTTCTTTCCGTATTGACGGTGTATGATAACGGCGTATGTTACCACGTCTACAGTAAATGTATTTGTGTCATATACCGCAGTGCGCCCGTGTTAACTTAATACGTATGACAAATAGCTTACGCAGTGGTTACCCAAAGCGGCAATACAGAAAATATATAGCTGGTGTTTATTTTAAATTCTAAAGTTGTAAAAAACACAATAAAATAAAATTCTTACAGCGCATAAACAAACATAAAGATGCTCAAAGCTGGAAAACTTTGTGCGCCGTTTAACCATTTAAAACCATCCAGAAAGAAAGAAGAAACATTGGTAAATACTTGGCGCCAGGTGGCGTTCGCTAATTAAAACTTGACTCTGATACGTGAAAACACAGCAACAGAACAAAAACAAAGAAGCACAATGATGGAAATATGAGCAGACGTCCCACAAACCCGGCTCCCTCGGTAGCGCAGGTCTACAAATCATGCTCCCCATTTATTACACTTCCCTTTCCCCAGCACATTCAAACCACCCGCCCCTCTTCGTATATTAATTTTAGCTCTGACTATGGCCTAACAATTTTGGTACGAGTTGGAATGGTATTTAGCTTGAACATACAATTACTTGATTCGAGTTTAAATCCCCAACACGCAAGAGACAAATAACTGTAGAGAAAAATTCTGAACTTCAAACCTCCCCATTTAAAAGCAAGTTGCCTAGTTAACGATCGAGTGTTCTGTGCACCAATTAATACGTTTCGATGTGTCAAAATTGATTTTCAAGCAATGACTTAACAGCTAAAAACAGTGATTCGTCACTATTTCCATGCAAACAAAGTTTCAGTCAGCAAAATTTCTTGTGTTTACACCAGAGCTTTCGAAGCTAGACTCTGGCTAATCCGCAAGGAGACCTGGGTTCAATCTCGGGTAAATTATAGTGAAATCCATGGTGGATGAAATGGCTCTAATTTATCCGGACAGGTTCATCTCCGAGGTGTTTCGGTGTTCCCCTTATAATAACAATTACATAATTGTCCCATACTCGTCTGTCAACGCTCCATAAGATGTGTGATAGCCCCGTTATGGATTTAGTCTCTGACTTTCCTGACCTCTGAGTAAAGAGAGTTTCTTTAGAATTATTTGACGTGGTTCCAGACGCTGCTGACGCACGACCTTTTCAAAGCTACTTATAACCAAACTGCACAGCAAAAAGTTTAATTTCTTTTCATAGATCCATCACCTTGGTCTATTTCTCGTAATACAAAAACAATGTTCAGCCCACTGAATCCGCTTCGGTTTCAGGCGTCCCTTATACTAAGATACCTAATCATTGGAGTCCACAGGACAGCTAACATAAGCCTACGTAAGTCATAAACGTAAGGGGTCTCGTTGCTGAATGGTTTTGTGTCAACACTTCAAAATCTTATTCCTGACGTCATATTTAGTCAGAAATTTCATACGAACTCAGTTCCGATTCTCAGCTGTTATTGATCTATCGATATCTTAAATTCAAAATGATATCAGCTCTACGTAGAACATCTTCGTTAATCGTGCGTGTGGCCACTGACTTCACCGGACCTAAATCCCAAAAATTTCTGTGAAATCACGATGTATAAACAGAATGTAAAATTAAAAGATAAACTACGTAATGAATTTTTAATGCAGCACGAAGCATGAATCTTGTATTTCAAACATCCGTCATGCTATATTAATCTTTTATTCTTTTAACACAGAGTTTATGCAGTTTTATTACAAATTATCTGAAGAAAATTGTAGAATTTTTATAACTTCATATTTTCTACGAAATTTTTTTTAAGCCTAACGAAAACTAAACAAATACAATGACATCTCACAAGATCCTTTTTTTACGTACTTTGAATAATGTAATAATTTCTACCTTGCAGATTGCCACTGTCTGAAGAACGTCAGTTTGCTAGTGTTTCCGCCCACCGTGCAAAAGGGCAGTCAGGCGTCACTCTTGTGCCAGTACGACTTGGAAGAAGCACCTCTTTATTCCGTCAAATGGTACCGAGGGAACTTTGAATTCTACAGATTCTCACCTGGAGAGAAACCAGACACCAAGATCTTCCCATACCCTGGAATCCATGTAGACGTAAGTATAAACAAGAGTACTAGCAAATAAAATCAGCTCTATGTGCAGTAAACATAGGAAGTAGGATTTGAGATTCTCCTGGCGGTGAGTACGAAGATTGAATTATTTTGGCTTGTAGCACCGTGTAATATGATAGAACACTGCCTACGTTTCAGAGATCAGACAACAGCCATCTTTGTAAACAGAGAAATTTTTAAAACACTGTTCCCTGCTTTTCATTTCAATTTAATGAGCTTTAGAATTTCTGGTCTTCATGAGACAAAACACGGTGACCTAGGAGACAAGGCGATGATCCAGTAAGTCACAAGGGTCACAACGCCCGTTATTAAAGACGAAAATATAAAGAACACAGACTTATCAAGGAGTAAGATAATACTTATTTACTAGGTTATGTGACATGTTGGACAATGAGCTGCTTCATTTCAAATACGTAAACAAACTAATTCTTCGAACTGATGAAAAATAAAAACTGTTGAAATCCAAAGGAACATATTACGCTCAGAATAAATTACCCTTAGAGAAATATTACTGAAGCGGGTCTCTTTTCTGGCTGCCACTAAGGGAAGGCAGAGGAAACCGGACACGAATTATAATTTCGTATTTCAAATGGCGTCTTTTTTCGTTATTCTTTGTGTATTCTGTATCCGTCAGGCTCTTCCTTACAAACTGCAAGCACTCCCATTTGTCCATGTCACAAAAGAAACATTCAACTTATTTTCTGGAACAGGACTGAAAGAAGGGCAGACACTGTGGTTACCTAACCACACGGTAATTGCACCGCCCCCTTCTGAAAGGAATAGTTTCCATTCTGATAATTAATTCGACGTTTCAAGACCTAGCGGTCTACATGCTTACACGATAAATGGATTCATTAATGAAATTTGGTCCTATATGTAGGAAGTCTATTTGAAAATATGAATTTGAGGCAAATTTGAACAAACAACGCTCAGTGTAACTAATTAATTAGAGCGGAATAAGGGTTGCAGTCGTTCTACTAATTGATTAAGGCACTCATCGCCCTGATCATGGAGGCAGTAAGCACCTCTGAAACGTCAGCAAACATCCCAGAAGATCTTCATCTTCATACTCATGGCCGTGAGAACCTAAATCTCACTAGATGCCTATGTGTCCTTCTTCCACCAAAGTATTATATTTTTAATGACTCGTATTTTTAGACCTGATTTTGATAATGCCAGTAGGGCACTAGAATTTATGATGAAAATACCTAAATTCTAAAATATCGGTAGATTAAAAATTAATTGTTATCATAATATACTACAGGCAATCAATACACATTCCTTTCATTCTTACAAAAACTCGAAAGGTACATTGTCTTTCTAGATAAGATGAATGATTCTTCTTTGTTCTGTCATTAACTTTGAGAATGCAACGGCTTCCCTCTTTCTCTCATTTTACTTCTCTACACTTTCTCACTCTTCTTTGAGGTTCGTTCGCTGATTGATGCGTTGAAGTCTTTTGTGCTGTTGGTACCAACCCATCAATAGAAAAAATACTCGACTCATTTTAAGTTTCAAAGTGCTCCAACTCACTGTTTCCGAATCTTGGTTTTGCAGCTCAAGGTTCATGTACGTGGAAATAAGATATCCTTTCTACAACGTGACATTTCTGACAAATTTCCTATAGGGTTCATTCTGTGTTCAAAATTACACGTTTCCACGTCCTAACAGAGCTACGTTAATGGAACTAGTAACTTGTTACATTAAAAATTATGGGTGCTTGCCACGCGGCGAAGCGAACGTACAAACGAGCCAACGAAAACCAATGTAATCCCGGAATTATCGTCACAGTTGAGTCATACAAATCACAACACTGAACATAACGGTAATCTGAACATAATCGTGTAGCTGTGGATATAAATCAGCCGAACATCTAACCCATTGCTATATAAAAATGTAGATAACTATGCTGCTAAGTTTCAAAAATTAAATAAAATAAATTAACCTGCAATTCTATGTACAATTTTACAAATCAATACTGAAATATAAAACTGAACACATGAAACGAACAGAACACGAAATTATTCTATTGCTGAAAGTAATTATTTATTTCTCTCCTTTAATACAATAATTAACACATATTTTCTTACAAGGATAACACTGAAGCCAAGTGACAAATTCTTTATAAAATGCGACGGTAAATGGTCGAATAACAAATTAGTTTCCGTTCTTACTAGCAAAAATAAGTAAATAAATAAGTATTGTTGTGGAATTATAATCTTAATAATCGCCAATAAGAATAGTCAATTTTGTAACTGGTAAAGCAGAGGATATTTATAGGATACAAAAAACGAAACCAGGATATTTGTAACAAATCACGGATTCAGATTTAAGGACCTGACGCATGGAAGAAAAAAAAAACTCATATACATGACGGGTGTAGAGCTACACTTCTCTTAATAGTGCCTTTTAACACATACAATTTGTCACCCTGTTCAGTGTTGAGTCCTATCGAATTTTAAATAAACTGTCATCTGAATATTTCACGTTTGTGTGGCAACTGTACTGCAATTTATAAAACATTTCCAAAGATATATTTCCAAAAATGAGAACCAAGAATTGAGTTTGAGATTCATCTCATTCGCTGCTCAGTCCAGTTCTGTTTCACTGCCACAAGAATCACGCAATCAAGTATCTCTGAACCTTCTGGCATTTGAGGGAACACTAAAGAACAGCTGGACGTATATTTCGCAGCACGCCATGCAATTTTGCAGAGTTGCGTGAGTGTACGCATAGAATACAAAGAAATATGGAAAACATCTAGGCAGCAACAAACACAATGAAGCGATATAACCAGTCGTAAGAGGTCACTGCTAACACCACACTTTGTGACGCGCTGTTAAGTGTACAGACACTAATATAAATTCAGAACGACGCAACACACATTGACTCAGATCGTGGAACGATGGTGCATAGGGCAGCTACCATTCCGCCCCTTAGTTTTAAGGAGAGATTTAAGCCATTGCAGAATTTGTGGCTACGTCAGGCAACAAAAAGGTATCTCGATGACCATTAAAGTGCGCAAACTGCACAAAGTGAAATATGTTATTACAAATCGCATCAATTCTTTCTGTTTACTTGAAGGGCTATTGCACGATTAATGGTTTCATTGCTTCGAGTAATAACTGCTCTCATTATTTGCATTTAAAAAAATTATTTTACTCGGAATATTGTTATAATATCAAATCTTTTAAAACCGTGACAATTTTTTATTCAAATCCCCTAAATAACAATTACAATCATAACATAATAACTCAACGGGAAAAATATGTAGATTGTGGTCTTCAAACGTCATAAAACCTAACATACTTGCAACTGGTTATTAACGTTTCAGTGGAACATGCTGCCTCCATATTCAATAAAAATCAATCTAAGTAAGATATTATATGGCACATTTGAAACCAGTTTCAAATATTGTAACGTAAGAGGTCATATAGAATAAAATGTTTGTATAATATTTCTCAAAAGCCTAGCATATGAGAACACCAATTTTATTTACAAATTATTATCCGCGATGTTACATTATCCCATGCAGTCAGGTAAGTTAGTAGCATTTCTACATGCAAAGAATAACTACATATAGTGACTTTTTGAAAATAAATGTTTGCAAAAAGTAAAAACACATCCTTTGTAATTCATGGAACATATGAAATACAGTCGTCACAAATGGAATTGAGAAGCAGCCGAATTCATGGTGCATTGAGTTGGCAGCGTCACTGTACTGTAACTTTTGTTGCTATTATCAGCCAATAATGAGTTTTTTTTTCTGTTATTGATCTCTGCCTCCAGCTGGTGAGAATTGTGAACGCTGAGGCGTAGTATAGCCAACAGGCTACAGGCAAAAAGCTTGTACCATTGCGTCAGTCAGTAAAACTGTGCTCTGCAGTCACACATGGACTATGCTTATTTCATCTGCTTCTTCAAAAGAGTTTTGGTTTAATTCTGTTCTGCCAACTGAACAAAATCCAAATGGAATATAACATGTTCGTGGGAATATGAAAACATGTTCGCGTATGTACATCTGCGTGTATTCCACGTAGTCCCACTGTATAATATCCTGAGTCACTATTAACTAACCCTTCATATATTATATTAGAATTCACTTCAGATGCGATAACTAAACTTTCTAGTTTCAGTTGTTGAAAGCTCCAATAAACTAAACGTATAAATGTATTAAACAGAAAACGACTAGAGTAATTTTGTGATAAAATGGTTACGAATTACTTATTCAGTTTTTACATCTGAATTCAGTCTTTTAGTAATTTCCGCGCTGTCTGAGCCCGCTCGACGCCTTGTTTATTTTTGGATGAGAAATGGTATCCCGACCTTCCCGCACAACAATGGCTCGGCCGCTTTTAAACATTCCGATCCTCCCGTGCGCATTTCTTTGTGTCAAACAGTTCTGTCAGTGCTTGGAAGCCATTTGCCGGTGCACTCCTTCAGGCGACAAAAAAGAACGCATTGCAGCACTTTGTTAGTCCTTGGTGCAAACCTCTAGAGGAAAATTCATTTTTATACGCGCTCACTCGCCACAAACTGACTACAGCTGAACCACACTCGCAACATATCACCGCGTGTCCTCAAGCTATATTATGACTGGGTCTCGGCAATGTTGCCAATCATACAACGAAACAGTGCACGTACAGCTGATCTCTTTTTAATCTGTATTTGTCAGTCTTAACGAACAAGATTTACATGAACTTTACTTCGGTAAAAACCAATCGGCTAAATTTATGAGAAATTATTTTTAACCACCGATGAGGAATCCGGGATAAAATTACACTAATTGACCTAGTAGTATGTTAGTAATTTCTTATTCACTAATGAGAATGCATATAGACCTAAGAGTGAGAATTGCTTTTGGGTAATTTGGTATTCAGTTATAATCTACTAAAGCTATGCCAATTTAGTTTCAAGTCAAACTTAAATGAACCCTGAGTCACGAAATCTGGGTTATTATAACACAGAAATAGACATGTATGC